CCCTAGAATAACAGAGCTGTGAAGGAGGATGACAGGCAGAGTGCAGAGGTAAGTGCTGAACACAGCTTGCCAGTTTGTCTTAGCACATGTATGCACATATATGACCCATGTGTATGACATATGTGACTAAGAGGTCTAAGAGACTGTTCACTGAGCAAGAAGAAAAGTGTGCAGCTGTGAGAAATGGTGAAGCAGCTACAAATGGAGTGAAGGGCAGTGGGCTTGCAGCTTGGCATCCTGCCACCCACCCTGCTCTAGGGCAATGAAAATCAGTATGCTAACACACTTCAGGAGTAAAGTAAAAGGATCTACTACACTTGGGTGTGTGCCAGTGTTTTAGACAGACATCCTCTCCAGCCCCCCTGGGTTCAGAGGAGGAGGTGACTGAACCTTGAGCTCCACACCTCTGATGGGACGTTGCTGCCCCACACAACTCTTGCTGGAGCAGTTTGTGAATGTCTCCTTATTTGTTTTAGGTAGTATCAGATGGCCCTTTAAAGAGGTTTTGCTATGTGTGGATTAGAAACAGTATGGCAGCAGAACTCTGGAGCAGTAGCTATGAAGGAGAGGAGTAGCAGCATATCTAAGGCAGAGCCCATAGATGGATTGTATGTTGGTTGCCTTAAATAGCTGACAAAGATACCCTTAGGAAAAATCCAGATTCTGCACCAAAGCAGCCAAGGCATAGGCAAAAGTTCTCCTGTAAATATTGCAACCAAAGTATAATCCATGATACTACACACAAAGAGAGGAGAAATTACAGTATCTGCTCTAACTCAGCCTACAAGCCCACGTGGATTCTGCCTTGGGAGGTGAGGGACTGACAGAAAACACTCAGAAGAAACGAACAGTGCTCAGACAGACCTTACACTGAGATGATGAGGAGCTTGGCTGTATGAGGATTGCTGTAATGTACCGTGGAATGGGAGGAGGTTAACTCAAAGCTCAGAGAGGAGATTCCCAATTCAGTATTCTTTAAGTGCCTTTTAAAAATCGTTTCTTTTGTCAACAGCACATGTTTAAAAGCAAATGTCACTGAAAAGGAAATGGCTTTTTACAGTGAAAATATGTCCTTGTGCAGGGGCAGGGAGGAATCTGGACTTGTTTCTCTGTTTACGAGTGTCCCTCTCCTTTCAGAGTGCTGCAAAAGGAATAACTGATCGGCGGCAGAATGATCAAAGAAAGATTTCTCAGGGAAGGTTGGTTCCTCGTTCTGCTGCTTTTGAAAACGCCAAAGAGAAGCTCTCAGACCAAAAAGAAAACTTTGATCCACGGAAACATATGGATACTTTACCTAAATGCTCCCCTTCAGGTGGAGATGGTGGCAGAATGTCTCCTAATGCTTGCGTGAATGTTTGCGAAAATGAACTTGGCAAATCGTTCCTCAAGAAAGGAAAAGAAAATGACGTTCCTTTAAGAACCCATCTACCAGGACCAGGAATAGGAAATATGGACTCAAAGCTAAAAATTCCTGCTCCAGAAACGAGGGACCATAAAGTTTCATGCAAACCAGAATTTAAGGTGTGTGGGCTGCGTCCTCCTCTGCTGCGCGCTGTGTCGTGGGACAGCTTGGAGCCTGGGCAGAAAGAGAAAACCCCTTCAAAGCTGCCCTCTGAGGAGGAGAAAAGCTGCCTTGGTAACAAATCCAGCAATCAGCTAAAAGCTTTCAAAGACCTTCAAATCCAAGTTCAACCAGTCCGAATGCAGAAGCTGACAAAGCTCAGGGAGGTGAGTCCTAGTCGTCAGCTCTATCCTGTTTGAAAGTTGGTTTCATATCTGTTACTTTCATGTCAACTTGCTTAGCATTAGTTTTGTCCTTGCAGGACACATGCAGTAGTAGCATGGGAGGCAGAGTCAGCCAAGTTACCAGAGAGTTGTATGAGGTTTTTCCCTTTGCAGTTTAGCAGATTGTAACCTGTAACTGAATTCCCTGGGGTTACTCTGGTTCTTAGTTCTCTTCACATGTGCCCCAAGGGCACTGTGCTGTCTGCAGTGCAGGCAGAGATGTGCACAGGCTTTGGCCCCAAAAAAAACTTGCAGTGCTGGTGTCATGAAAGTGCTAATTGCTTTCGTTGAGACAGAAGGGTGAGTGTAAACCACAGTGGGTTTGCATCCTTTACATGACCTATACATAGGAAGCAGTTGATTAACACTCACGTAATTTGTAATACCTACTTGGGACTAAATTGATCTGTTTTGGTTTCCGAAGAGGATTTTAGACCTAAAGAGTCTTTCCTTCCTCAGGACATAACATTCTCTTTTAAAGGGTCATTTATGCTCTTGTCTTTGCTTCCCTGTTTTATGCTCTTTCTGCTCCTTCAGGGGCCTCACAAATACTAACTGTCTGATCTGTGCATGAGTGGGCTGAGACCTGTGTGTAACAGGAACCTTTGGCTGGAGTTTGGAGGCAGTTACTGTGCTCTTGTTCAAGGGCTTACGAGCCTCCAGCTATCACATCCTGCTTGTAAACTGTTTGGGTTTGAAATTCACGTTTGTTGGTCAGCTCTGTGGTTTGAGCCCTGTGTTGGCTGGCACTCTCCCCTCCGAGGGCAGCAGTCCTGTCAGACTAGGCAGGAGATAGTTTTGGTCTGATTATTTGTTAACTGAACACTCTCAGAAGATGTCTCAAAGTGCCCAGAGCTGTCAAACTGGGGGTCTCAGAGCAGGGGCAGGTGGAGTGTCCAGACTTACAGTTCCCAACTCTAACTGGTGCAAATAGAAGCACAGACTTGGACTGCAATGTCTGTAAACTAATCTGTTGTCAAAGAATTGTCTAAATTCCTGAAAGTTAAGAACTAAACCCTAAGAAAAAGAGCAGAAATTACAAACCACCATAGGAAAGTGACTGCCATGTGTCTGTTAGAAAAATTACCTTTGAAAGAAAAAAAAGCAGGAGGCACTTTCCTGAGCAGCCTAATAAGAGTATCTCCTTTGACCTCCAGCAGTTAATATCTTCAGGTGAACACAGAACCTCAGTTCTGCACTGAGGTTAATTCATTCCCATTTCCCTTTTCTGGGATACTCAGTTACTCCTGTGGCTATACCCAAAATTGCTTTTTCATTCTTTGTTACTAAAACTCACTACTAAAACTCTGTGTTTCTGTTTGAGTAAAGAGCTCATTTTGTGAATCTCTTTGTGCATGCCCAGGAATTTTTCTGAATAATGCCTGTATGAACTGAGAAATATGCAATATTCTGGAGTGTGTATGTCCATGTGTCCATGCTCTGCAGCATCTGACTCTAACTTCACACAGATCTCTCCACTGTTTGTTAACTGCAGGAAGTGTTGTATTCATTGCTCATGTGGCAGGGGAACTTACACTGAGATTTCTAGTCCAGTTACTTAGAAATGTTACTGTTTCTCTTAACAGGAGCATATTTTGATGAGAAATCAAAATTTAGTTGGACTTAAACTTCCTGAACTTAGTGAAGCAGCTGAACAGGAAAAAGGTGCAGTATCATAAAAGCTGGAAGGAGTGTTTATTACATACTGATTTTTGTACTTGGCTTTCATGGGGGAGGGGGGGAAGTCTTTTCTTCACTTAAATATTCGTTGAAGCAGTCATGGAAAACGGTACTAAGGCTGAATGAGAGAGACCAATAATAGAAGCACCTCAATTTCTTGATGATCTGAGCCAAGAAGATAGCATTGCAAGCACATGTGGAGCAGAGTGTAGATGTGTCTGGAACTGCCTCGAGTTTCAGTGTTTTCTGTGAAAAGATCTCAGCAGTGCTGGATTGAAAGGATGTGGCCTCTCTAAGATATCGTGGCATAGGAGTGAATTTGATCCCTGTCAGCATAAATAAGAGATGGAATGCTTTATTCCTGCTCTTCTGTTTTAGTCTGTGTGTGGCAAGTATTGAAATGGCATTTTCACTTCTGGTCCACATTTCTGTGTCAGTGTGAGTAGGTAAGAGTAAGGCCAGAGAAGAGTCATGAATGTGATTGAAGGACTGGAAAAATATGCCTTGCAATAAGTGGGATTTTTAAAGCTCAATTTCTGTGATTTTTACGGAAAAATAAAGGGAAAGGCTTTGTAAGGAAAAGGCTTAAAACTCTGCATAAATGAGGAAAAAGAAATCTGGCACCAAGTGTTTTCCAGTCTAACACAAGCAAAAGAGTTTTGCAGCCTACAGGCTGTGTCAGAAAAGGCTCAGAATCACAATAAAGAGTGAAGATACAAACCTGAGGACAGTTCAACATGTGGAATAATTAAACAGTAGTAGTGCTGAAAGTATTTAAACCAAATCAACTGAAAATATTGAAACCAAAACCGACTTTTGTGGGGAGGTAGTTTAGTCAGAACTTGTTCAGATGTTTTCAAGGCCACATGAGCTGTGATGGAGATGGTTAATATGAAAGGAGCTGAAACTGATTGTCCAAGATTTGGTCCAAAGACAATTTCAGTTTTTCTCTAATACTGCTCCTTTTGCTAACTCACAGATTTTCTTTGGGACTGTTTTATAAGGCCTTAAAGTCTCTTGCACTGAGAGGTGTTGAGATATCACATTTCATGTCATCTCTGGGGGCAAACTCATCTGCAATCTGAATGGAACAAGAGTAAAAGACTTCTTGTCCTCTGTATGTAGTGATTATATCTCTGGACCCCTAGAGATGATAATACTGTTCTTGTCACTGCTAATGTATAATTTCCTGGAAATTATTTAGCAGTCCCTGTTTGACAGTGTAAAATAGTTGCCATTTTAGCAGCCTGTTACATCATCTTGGCTGGTTTGAAAGTATGGAGGGAAATGTTATGAAAAGCTAAGGATTATTTTATCTAGCTTTTCAACCAAGATCTCAATGAGCACCGTGAGGGTTTTACAGTTCAGGAACTTATCTAAGTGATAATCAGAACATTAAGGGTCAACTCTTTGTCCTCAGTGGGGAAAACAAGCAAGGGGTCAAACCCCTAGTCCATTTGTCAGGGGGACTTACTTCCTCACATTGTCATAAAATCCACCTTATGCTCTCTTACTGGAGCAGTAATTTTGCATAGACAATAGGAAACAGCCAGACAGGCCATGTTCACTGTTGTGAGCCCAATGCACTGTGTCCATCATGTTTTCTGCCAGGGACAAGTTACTGTGATCAGCTGAGGACACAACTCTGCATCTGCAGAGCTTTAGACAGGGGAATGTGTCACACCTGGAGACACTGTGGCTGGATTTTATGGGGACACAAGTGACTGTCCTGAAGTAAATACCAGGCTTTTGTAACATGAAGTTCTGTAACACAGAACTAAAGTGTAGCTAGAAAGAATCTCCTGTTTTGCTCTGTCTCTCATGTTGGTGCTCTCCACATGTACAGAGTTTGAGTTTTGTCACACTATTTGTTCTGCAAATCTAAGAAACTCTCTCTCACACCTGGTGAACAGCAGAGCTGTACCAAGATCCCTTCACCAGGCTGAGAAGCTGCCTTTGGTACAGGAGAGTCTTTCATTACATCCTGAAGATAGAGGGAGATAAGGGAATTATTAGATGTGAAATTAATACAATGAAAAAGCTAACTAACACGAATGGAAAAAGCCCAATTGAGCCATATCTGGGTCCTTTTGAAAGGGACAGAATTAGAGAATGTGGCTGTCACCTTGTCCTGTTTCAATGAGCTTGCAGGGCAGACAGGTACCTGTTGTAACTCAGCACTATAAATGGTGCACAAAATCTATAGTGTGGAACATTACACTGCACTTGGCAGGTGGAACCTAAAGCCTCAGGAAATGTCAGTGTTCTGTTACAGAAGCTCAGCTAAAATATTCCAGAAATGATGCTTTACCAAGTGTATTGGTAAAGCACAAATGCAGGAGGTTAGGTTAGAAGTTCCAGTATTGAATTTGGGTTCAGTTTGAGTTCTAGGAAAAATGCTAATACAATAATTATTTTTTCGGTGCAGATTACTTTTGTTGCCACTGCTCTAGAGGAAGGACTGGGGATCTCTAGTAGTAAAGGAGAGATGAGTGATCACTACTGCAGTAGAAGTAACATTCTACATGAAGAGATAGAGCTTTACCTGTTGTTCACTTCTGCTCGCAGAGCTGGGGTGAAAGCCCCTCTGGCTTTGGGAAAGACACAGCTAAACTGAGAGGTCCCTTTGCCTCTGAGGTGCCGATTACTGACAATTACTGCATGACTTCACAAAACTGGAAATGTTTTGTCTGAAAATGTCTTTAGGCCCTTCACCTCTCCCTTCCCCCACCGAGGAGGAAGAGCCAAAGAACAGCTCTGATGTCATGCCCAGCATTCCTGACGTGTTGCTGCGGAAGCTGCGGGTGAACAAATCACTTCCAGGAAGGTAAAGATCCTCAGAGGCAGAAAGAGACATCCCTGGGGGGAAAGCACAGGGAGGGTCCACAAACTGTGTAATGACAGGATGGGCTTCATTGGTACTGTCAATTATATACCAGAATAGCTTTCTTTTTAGAGGCAATTAAAATTCATTAAAATGTGAATTTCTTGCTTTTATTCCTAGCTCCCCTCCACTTACTGAGAAAGAAGTTGAGGTAAGTATGTTCTTAAGATCATTACTTTGCACATATACCTCAATTTTAAGCAGTTACTCTAAGTCTAAACATGGTATTAAACTCAGGTCATGGGATGACTTTTTTTCCCAAAAAAATATTTCTCAGAAAAAAAGTTGAGTTCAGTCAAAGTAAGAATGTTGTGAAATACATACAAGCAATATGAACTGTGGAGAGACAGAGAAGGAATAAGCACAACATTTGTTTGTGCATTTTTCATAATAAAACATGCATTTATTTTGGAAATTATGATAATATTCTTAAAGTAATTAAAAATGAGATTAAATGAGGTCAGAAACTAAATTAGTTGAATTGCACAGGAGCTTTGGGGCAGTTCTTAGTGATACCTTGCTGTCAGTTTACATAATTTTTGCCTTCTCAGTCCAAGCCAATGGTTTTGTTTGCAGGTTGCCCTTTGGCTTGCAGCTTTGTTTCTGCTATTTTTTTTTCACATACCCATCAAGAAAAAGATCTTTATTTGCACAGCTCCAGCCTCATGGAATTGTTGGTGCCTTGTGCTTTGCACAGTACTAACTCAAAGAAATAATGCACCTGGTAGAGCAAGAAACAGTCTTTGAAAGCAGAGTGCAGGAGAGTAAAAGTGTTAGCACTTCATCTTTCCCTGGCGTCAGTGGGAGGTGTTTATCCCTTGGGTAAAACGATGAGTTCATCCCTGGACTTCCTCTGCACAGACTATCTGTGCAAAAACCTTGGGGACCCTTGCAGGAAGTCCAGCTAGGAAACAGATCCATTGTGATTCTGGTGCTTCTGGTCGGCGACTTCCTTCACTGTCTCTGCTCTCCTGAGCTCCCAGAAAAACAGGCAGGAACAGAGGCAGCAACACAAGGATTTGTATTTTAGTGGAAGGAAATAGAAGGGACTTCTGGAACAAACTCATGTTAAAAAGTTTTTCAGTTTTCTGTTTCAATACTTTTCTAAGCACCAAAGTTTGTTAAATATGTACCTTGTTCATAAGCAGCTATTGGAAATTGTGTTACTGAGAGAGTTACTGAAAAATGCCTCTTTTTACTCCAAACAGAATGTGTTTGTACAGCTTTCCTTGGCCTTTAGAAATGACAGTTATACTTTGGAATCTAGAATTATCCAAGCAGAAAGGGAGAGAAATCTTACTGAAGAGAATGCTGAGAAGGAACTGGAAAACTTTAAAGCAGCCATTACGGTAAGGAAACACTGGAAACTGTTTTCTGAACTGTGGTGCCCATGAAGTGTACACACACTGGAAATCTGTGTGACTGTGCTTGCTTATCCCTGTTGTCATTCAGCCCAAACCTTCCTGTTGTGCTGCTCGGGCTCCTGGCCCTGAGCTGCCTCCCACCCTGCCAGAGAGAGAGTGTTTTCTGCCAGAGTGGGCCCAGTCCTGGAAACACTCAGAGGATGCATGAACAGCAAATTCAGTTCTTGAAATCAGCCTGTGGCTAAGCTGAGTGCGTTCAGAACTGCAGACTGAGCTCCACTCAAAAGGTTACTGCACATCACTCCCTTCCTTTGAAGTGGGGAAGAAAAGTAGGAGGATGAGAGATTATTACTTTCACACATGATTTCAGTGCACTGACTTACTCCCCCAGTAACACAAGTGAGGGGCTGCAGGAGCTAGGGCACAGTAGAGCTGGTCAGAGGGAAACTTGTCTGAAGGGCAACACAGTGATAGAGAATATAGGAATCAGGCAGGATGGCAAAATCCACCTGTAAGTCTGAACTAAATTGTTTAGGGTTTTCTCATATCAAACTCTTCTGTGAACAGAGAGCTCACCCAGTGAAGAGATGTTCACTAAGACTTTGGCTAACAAAACATCTACATTCACTCTTGCTTTTGGTAACTAATCCCAAGAATTTATGTGCTTTGATGCTTTTCAGTGTTAATCTGAGCTGTCAAAGTGATGATATTAATCCATTTCAGAGATGTGTCTGTTGATTGCACAAAATGGTTCAGAGATGGCAATTGCCATTTGATTTACAGGCCATATGACTTTTTTGTCACTCTTTTACATTTGGAGTTCTTGAGACTATATGTCTTCTTTTCAAGTAAGCCAAGTGTCATGGAACTGAAAGAGCACACGTGGCCTTCTTAGCACCTTGTGCCCAGGGAGCTAAGATGTGCTTTGCTGGGAGGAACTCGGCGTAGGTGAAGCTCACAGGCAGCAAGGCATGGCTGGTGGTACAGTCTGGAAGTGCTGCAGTGTGCTGAGCCCTGCCAAAGCCCTTGGGTGCTGTGAGGGCTGTGCGGGCACCGCTCTGGGGCTGCTCTGGCCATGGGCAGCTCTGCCTGGGCATTTCCACCCCCTTCTGTAAGTGGTTTGAGCTGCAAGGGGCAAGACCTGCTGATCCAAGTTGTGTTGTCTCTCCAGTCCTCAGCTCCCCTGTGGCAGCACTACGAGCACAGAGAGGCGTACCAGCGGCTGCTGGAGGACGTGGCGGTGCTGCGGCGCTTGGCTGCCAGGCTCTCCAGCCGCGCAGAGATGGTCGGCGCCGTGCGCCAGGTGGGCACGTGTTCACCCCGTGGCTCCTTCAGCCATCCCTGCAGGCACCCTGGGAATCGTGTTTGCCACTTTGACAGGCTCAAGGCATTTATTGCAGTGGCAGATAACACACCGTTTCAGTCTGGAAATAATAAAGCTCCAACAGAAGATTGCCCATGACGCTATTTGACATCTTCAATAGGAGCAATGTATTGTTCAGAACTGCAGCTGCATTACAAGAAACTTGTCTTGAATCAGTACAGCATGATAAGAAATTTTTTCTGGGTCGAAAAGCTCCTCGAGTTCAGTCACCTGCCTTTGGCAATAGCTCAGTCAGCCAACTACAAAAGGGATATGAACAGAACGGGTATAAGTGAGAACACAGCAAGACCTTCCCAGATTCAAGGGGTTCCCTCTGCCCTCTAGACTAACTAGGTCGATGCCAGTGGCTAAGACCTTCGAGGGTTTGAAAGCAAACATGGTGCAGCACATAACTGGGAGAGGCACAGAGGCAGGTGTATAAATACTGACACAATCAGTTACAGCGCTCTGCGGAACACACACAAACGTGTGTGCCTGTGTGTTCTTACCAGCTTAGGGAGTTAGGTCATGAGGGCTCTTTCAGAGCAGCTGTTCCAGCTGTAGCCCTGAGGGAGCACACACCTAGAGACAAATGGTTTGCTGGGCCCAGGGGTTACCTGGGTGTTCCTCCTTTCCTTCCACAGGAGAAACGCATGTCCAAGGCCACAGAGGTCATGATGCAGTACGTGGAAAACCTGAAGAGGACATATGAAAAGGATCATGCTGAGCTAATGGAGTTCAAGAAACTCGCCAATCAGAATTCCAGCAGGAGCTATGGTGCCTCTGGTAAAAAACATGACTAAATTTAAGGGTCTGTCTTGCCTCTATACAGAGAAATGTTGGTGCCGTTGATGACTAGAACTGAAGTATCATGAAACCTGTTCATGAAGTTCTGATCTGCAGGAGGAGATTTTAAAAGGTTACCCAAATAGGATAAAATATTTCATATAAGCCATACTTAATGTTATGGTGCCATAATTTCAAATCACTGTCCCTTACCAAATTCCGATGAGGTCCAATGACATTTTAATTGGCCTCTGGCACATGCACATAGTCTGCACAGCTTTAATGCAACTACCTTTTAGGTGACACACGAGAGCAAAATTTCATTATTCAAACCTTTTTTTTCTTTTTGTACCCTTTTCTCTCCTTTGCTGAAATGAAATATGAGTATTTTCCTCTGCAAGAACTTGTGCATGGAGGCAAAGAGTAGCTCGTGCCTGATCTCAGTGATGGTTTGAGGCTTTGCAGTTGTTTCAAATTTCTTCTGCAGGTGCAGATGAGATCAGAACTGAGTGACAGATAAATATGTGGGCACTGCAGACCTTGTGTAGATACACTGTGTCTGAGTTTGAAATGCAAGGGCTCTGCTGTAGTATTATTTGTAGGTACTCGTGTAGCCTAATGCAGTTCTTTGTCTGTGTTTCCATGCAGAAGATGGAGTACCTCGTACATCTAGATCCATGTCTCTGACTGTTGGAAAGGTACCTCTGCAATGTAAAGAAAATGAACATTTTATGCATTGAGATTTCTTTGTCTACATGCACTGAGTTTTATAGGCCGTGTTTGAAACAGTGCTGACAAATTCTTGATGTCCTTCCTGTGATTTGGTGCATGTGCTTTGTGGGTTTTGGTACATAAGTATGACCTTGTGCAATAATGCTGATGCTCCTATTTATTTCAGCATAACTGTAATCCAGGTCACATCCCTGTGATCCAGGGAATGTCATAGGTCCTGTGCTTCATTCTCAGTCCTCAGTGAGAAAAGTGAACATTGGATCAAAACTCACTGTATGATTTGGGGTTCCATGGCCATAACATTTTCCTTGCCTTAAGAATTTCATCATGGCCAGAGTGCCTTAGATGTAAAGTTAAAGAGCTGATAATACTAGCTCAGAACATATCTGTTGTGTCACTTGAACTCTTGGGCTTCCACTGTGGAGGGGAAAGAGCAGCATCCCTGTACCACACCACATTTCACACTAAGCACTTGTCATACCAGACGGTACTAGGGGAAGTTTTGGGGAAAACCACAGCCTGGGAGCCATTTATCTTAATTTTGCTCTAACTCTCCTTTTCCCCAAGAGACATTAATATCTTCGCCACACTTATTAACCTGCAGAACTGTTCTTCATCTGGCTTGCTGTGTGATACCAAAATCCACATTGTTTCTCACAGAATATGCCTCGGAGGAGAGTCAGTGTTGCTGTTGTTCCTAAATTTAACTCCTTGAGCATTCCTGGTCAGTCACCAACAGCTTCACCTATACCTTCAATGCCATCCCTGGTAAGTAAACTCCACATTTTGTCTAGACCAGTTTTTCATAGGGCCAAGCCACAGTGACTAATAGTGGAAGGCCTTTCACTGGTTTGCCTTGTCCATCCCAGTGAAAGGGATGCACAGAGGTCGTTCCTATGGTGTCAGGAACATGTGCCTGCAGACTCTCCCTCTGTACACATCCCTTGGGACACAGCTGAGTAGGGCTAGCTGGTGGTCCAGAAGCACTAGACATAAGTGAGGCAATTGGACTTCTAACCTGTAGTAACACACAGGAAAGAAGGAGTGAAAATAGTTGTTAACTAGAAACTAGAAACCACAGAACCTGATTGAGCTGCTGCTCTTCATTGCCCAAAAGTTCACAGTGCCCAGAAGCACATGTAATTCATGTTGTGTGTGGTACAGATGTAGAGGTTCTGTGATGCTCTGGGATTAGTGGAGCTATCAGCCTCTGGGTTGGCTTTTTGTGTAAAACTTTACTAAAGTACATGAGAATTTATTCTAAACACAATCCATATGAATGCTTTGAAGGAGAACTGCAATGCAAACTGTTCAGAGATGAGCTCTGATGGGACATAACCTGACAGTTACACAGTGTTCTGGTAAAACCTTAGGGTGACCACATCAGGGGCCTTGCTGAGTAGCTGAATCCACTTTAGGTCTAAGAAGAGCATCTGTTTGTGCAGTTTAGTCATTATGTACTCTGGGTCAATTGTTTTGGTGTGTTTGTTTGACACGGTTTAATATGATCTATTTTTGTTTAAAATTTCCCACTGAAAACTCAGACAATAAATGAACCTTCCTAGGATAACAGGAGAGAAGCAATAGAGTAATTTTACTGCTCAGTGATCAACAGATGAAGAAAGACTTGGAAAAAATAAGCAGAGTAGAGAGGAATGTCAGGGAATATTCTTGGCGTGCAGGTCCATTGTTTGCTGTGCTTAGTGGGAGCAATTTGGAAGCTCCATATAAAAGATACTTTGCTTATGAGTGTGGAAGGAAACTGAGGAAGCACATTGACTATGTCATTTTATTGGACACTCATTTGAATTTAATTGACAGATGTAACATTTGTTGCTGTGTTTTGCTTACAGTCTGAATCACCTAGTAATGGAAGGAGCAACCTCACATCTACTCCTGCCCTGCCAGCACTTTTAGAAAAGTGAGTTTTCTTTAGGTCATTTCATTACCTATGAAATCTTAATATGAAATGGTCATTATATCATTTCTGTCTTTCCTAAACCAAGGCATAAGTTGTTGAATCCAGTGACATACTATTGGCTTAGATTGGTTCATGATCTGGTAGCTATTCTACCATGTCACCATCATATTTTGCTCTCCTGTCCAAAGAGTTTACATGCAGGATCTCAGAACTAAGCTGGGCCTGCTCTGATCACTAGAACTCATCAAGTGAAAAATGCATCAGGTTATACAATGAGGCTTTGGAGTAGGCCTGCCCTCCCAGCTGGAGAGAACCGATGGCGTTGCACGTGAGTGTCCTGGAAGATAATGCTGTATCTCAAGTAGGCCAGGAGTGACCCAGGGCATGAACCTGCCTTAGCCTGACTACCCAGTGACAGAGGTTTGTGTTCTGCCCAGGACGTTCCAGAGGTGCCCAGCTGGCAAGAGCCATGTCTTGAAATCCTCTGGTACACAGTGTCAGCAGGTGTTGAAAACTCGAGTGTAATTTATCATAACACTAGATCATCAGAATTTGCAGAAGTCAAAACAATGATTAAACTGAGTGGCAATTTTTTTTTATGAGCAATGAATTAAACATTCAGCTAAGTTTAAGCATTAGGTCTGATACTTCAGTTTTTACAACTTGAGGTTTTAGTATAGCAGTCAGAAAAGTTTGCACTTCAAAATGGAAAAATAAAGCTATGAAAGCTAAGATTTTTTTTTAACCTGGTAATAAGCAAATACCTCAATATCTACGTTTTCCTAGCACCTATAAATGGCAAAAATATTTTTCACTAGAGCATTTGGCCTTTTGACTCTGTGTTGCCATTAGTGTAGATGTCCTGGCTGAATTAAGGTGTTCTGTTGTGTGCATATGTTTCATTTGTATGTATGGTCAGGCTGGAAAGCAAAAAAACCAGTCAGGCCCTTTTCCAAATACTTATCTCTTTCAGGAAATGTGCATCCTGAGGAAGTTGCTTGCTGATGTTTCAGAAGTAAACTTGCTAAAACATATTGATTTTTGTTGTGATTGTTACTGCTACTGCTTTGGGCATTTAGACTGTTTGCAGGAACACAACGAAGTGTCTGCAGGACTAATTGAAATTATGCTTTAAACATTCAAACTGAAAGCTTTAAAATGTGTGCATCAGGACAAAAGGTTGAATTTCATGTCTTTTAGATTAGTGCTGAGCCAGGACAAAACTTGTCTTTGTTTTGTGCCTGTGCTTGCCTAAGAATGTAAATGTGCAAGAGCTGGGACACCAGAAACGCTGAACTGCAGCACTAGGTGTTACAACTCCAAAGAGCTCTGCAGGGTCTGGACCATCTTGTGAAACTGTACAGAAATTCAAAGAGAGAAAAACCAACAACCAATAAAACCTTATCAATATTGCACATCCCTTTAGTGACCAAAGGGATGGATGTGTTTGTGGTTTTTAACCTGTGTAGTATTTCAGCATATAGAGTCAGCAGGGGAGAGTACCTAAAAGGCAGATAAAGCCAAAGTTTTGTTAAATTAGTGTTTGATATTGTCTCTGTTATTTTCCTCTTATGCAGCGGGTTACAATTGCCAACATGATTTTTAGAAAGGTGAGGGAAATGTTTTCAAGAATAGGATATAATTGCCCTGGATGAGCCAGGAAACAAATGCTCTTTTTGTTTTTCTGTTTCAAAGAAGAAGCAAAATGCATTTCATTGCCTTAACAACTCAATAATTACTGTTCTGGAATTGCATCATTTTGAAACTCGTGTTTTTCTTGATGTTCAGTTTGTATGTTCTGAGAGACATTTCATTTCTCTGATGCACATTCAAAAAGAGAACACACGAGTCACTAAATTGCAGTGCACTCCCAATCCATTGCATTTCAGTGGCATTACTTTCTCTTTGCCTTTCTTTGGTTTCTCCAGTGGAAAGCCCAGTGGAGAGCCTGACTGCGAAACGCCTCCGTCCGCACCAGCACAGAGCCTGGAGGAGATCAGCCCCGAAACCAAAGCCAGGATAGAAGAGGAAGCATACAACAAAGGGTGGGAATATTCATGTGCACTCAGTCTGGCAGTGTGTGCTGCCAGACGAGGACAAGGTTTTCAGATTTAGTTGTAAGTGCAAAGTGAGTGAGGTGGTTGCAATGAGCTCCTCGAAGATGGTCGTATTCGGAGCCAAGTGGGCAGCGATGTGAGTGAGCTCCCCCAGGGTGTGTGCATGGTGATTTTCATCTCTCACCAACAGAAGCCAAACTGGGAGAGCAGCTCCCTCAGAGATTCTGAGTTGGGTGGGTGTGTCCTTATGTCAGAGTGTTCAGCTTCATGGCTGGGTAACCCAAAACAGCTTAATGAAGCATTTCCTCTGAAAAGTGTGCATGGGAATGGGTAAAAAGTACCAACCCTTGAGTAGTTGTGTCATAAAGTGCTTTGCACAGCAGGTTTGGGGGTGATTAACAATTTTGGGATCCGTTTCTGAATGCTAAGCAAAGAACTTTGTACTGTGTGAAGAGTGAGACAAAAATTCTGATCCTCTCCTGCAGGATCCAACATCCATCTATCTTTAGCATTGATTTGCATTTATTCTCCAGGAAAAAAGGGTGTTGAAAATGACTGGAAAATAATAGAGATATATTTATTGACTCCTATACAACAGACAAAATTTGTTCTCTGCTGAGAACTGTAACTCAAGATGACAAACTTGGTATCAGCCCCAACACAATCCTCAGTTAAGGAAGGGTGGCTGGCTGTGTGCCATACTCGTGGCCTTCAGCTAACTTTTACTCTTGTTCAACTGCTGCAACTCTGCTACTCGTGTTTCATGGCATGTGCCAAAACACAAAGCTCCTTTTCCATTAAATCAGATCATGCTAGACTAAGAAATAAATGGTTTGTGTGTTAAAGCTATCAGGAAGGCTTGAAGAAAAACAAACAACTTCAGGAACTGAAGGAGGAAGATGAAGAGACAGCCAAAGAAAGTCATGATGAACATGAAGAAAGCGAAAATGAAGATGAGATCAAAAGCCTGAAAAGCAGGTGAGGCAGTGGTGTGATATGTCCATGCAAGAGGGGCCACTTTTTTCTGTTTGTGGTACCCAACCACGTGGTTTATACTATCCCTTTGGCATGTTTTCTTCCATTCTAGGGAAGCATCTTTGAAATAACAGTATTTTCACAGACAAAGGGCAGATGTCTCACTAGTCATGAAGCTCTTAGAAAGAAATGTTTACAGCATGTTCTAATGTTTAGTTTAGTCGGCCAAGGTATGAACAGTGCAGAATTTTACATGATGGTTACCAAGCTCTGAGATTTGCCAGTTGACAGGTAGGAGAGATGGAAATCCAGTTGAGAGTCTTCAGCCACCTTGCAAATATTACCATGTCATGGCATAGTTGGAGCTGGAATATCTGAGTGTACAGCTCTTCTTCAAAGGACTTTGCAATCTGATGCTTCTTTGACAAGGTGGCTGCATTGGGAAAAGGATGCTGAACCATACCCCTATGAAACCTCTTAAACTGGAAAGTTGAAAGATGATACATTTGCATACGATTAAGATATAACAGTTTTCTTTTGATTTTTACAGCAGACTTGAAGTCATCATTAATTATTTATCCATCCTGTACCCCAAACTGTGCAAACACTGGAATGTGGTATGGCTTGTCGTGGCTGCAATAGTCGTTTTTGCTGTGGTGTTGGGAATCTACCACTCCTACAACTCCTGCGCCGAGAGGTCGGAGGCCGCCGAGGGGAAGGGCAGCTGCTCTGCTGCCCAGCACCACTCCTGGTGGAGCTCAGGGTTCCGGCAGGAGCAGCGTGCTGACTGATGGGGGCACAGCCAGGACGGTGCAGCTCAGCCCTGTGGCTGTCACACGGGAGCTGTCGGACCAGTCCCCCCACCCCACTGCTCTGGGGAGTGTTGTGAACAGACCTTGCCCTGACAATCTGGTCAATAACCCTGTCTGCCCCTTACTGCCACTGGCTGCTGAGGGTGAAATGCTGAGCCCTGACCAGGCTGTGGCAGTGACCAACAGCAGCAAGACATGGAACAGAATGATCTGCACAGGACACTGACACTTGGAGGAAAATCCTAACACCTGAGTTGGCAGTTAGTCCTTTACTTTGCATTTCTGAATTTGTTGTGGGTTGGTGAAGTACTGATGGCATTTAAGTCCTTTGGGTTTTAAGAGGCTAATTCATTTTCTTATTCATGACTATTGGATAGAAATAGAAGCTTTTCTATAGAAGAATATAATTCTATTATTAGACTAAATGCCTTGCTGATGAAGTAATTTTATGAGAGGAATTACCTGTATGGTTATTTAAATGGAGGTTAAGTACATGCATAAATGTGTCTCATGATAGAGGTGACCACACTGAGTGGACTCTGCCCTTTGGGACACCAGGGCACAGCTCTGCCAGCAGTTAGACCCCTCGTGGTGCCTGCCTGAGTCAGGGTGGGGAAGCAGTGAGGGCTTGGAGAGCTCACTGGGCAGGGTTAGTGCTTCATCTCAGAATCTGGGGCACTGCCAGGTCATGAGGGGTTAAGCTTTTGCCCAGGTTTTTCAGCAGTTCTGCCTGTCTGGGAGTTGTGAGTTTTTCAGACAAGCAGCCCCAGGCAGTGAAGGCAGTGAACACACCTCCTGGTGCTCTGAGCAGAGTGCCTGGCACTGCAGGTGTGCCCTGTGCAGAGGCAGCCACAGTGTCAGCACCTGTGACACCTGTTTGCACTGTGTCCTGCACTGCTCTGGCAGTGTCTGCCTGAGGATTGTCTGCTCACCCACCACAGGGTGTGCCAGTTCAGCTCACATTGCCCTGCTCTCGTGGGGTGAGCACTGAGCCTCGGGCCAGCTCTCCAAGGTTTCCCACTCACTCAGATCTGGCACTAGTGACAAACATCCTGCTGGTGAATTTTGGTTTGTTACATCTTTAGCCACGTGCTTCTCCTAAGAGACATTTATATGGAGAAAGAAAAGAAAAGTCTTTTAAAAAAAAAAGGCAATTACAAAAAGCAGAACACTACAACTGTGTGTTTTGGGTGAGCAGGAGGAGTCTGTCAGCAGTTGGGAGGTTGGGGTTTGTTTTAGGGTGTATATTACTGAGGCATGTTGTGCTTAAGGAAGTTCAAAAAGGATAATGGGAAAGTGTCAGTCTAAAATTGTAATTGGTAAAGAGTAAGACAAGGTTTCCTGCACATTCCTTGGCATCTGATTCAGTTAGAGGATCTGTCTGTGAGAACTGCTGTAATGTTTCATGTACTTTCAGTGTCTGAAGAAACTCATCAGTGGTTCTTTGAATACCTCTCTATCAAAATCAGCTTTTTAACTTCAGGTTCTTTTAAAATAATACTGATCACTTAAGGCATTAAAAATTGAAAGTAAATACTGCTGAATATTCAGAATTCGCTATGCCAAAAATTGTGGCACATATTTGATGAAGTGATTGTGGAAATATTGGGCTGCACTGAAGGGAAGAGTTAACAGTGCCTGTAATCCAACTAGTTTGCTGTTATTTACATCTGCACCGATGAGGGTCCGACAACTTATTTTAAGGGCACATAGAAGGTTGTTGGTGTCTACAGGACTCTTGAGCTGCTTAACATGAAGCATTTTTTGGTCAGGGGGTGAGTGAGGTTTCATCCCTGGAGTTCAGCTCTCTGCTTTTGGGAGACCGTGCCCACGGCCAATACTTGCCTGTCCAAGGCAACTTTGATTTAGCCACACAGTTAGTGCTTGTGGTGGGGAATGGCCTGAAAGAGGCAAGAGATTTTCACAGGGCTAAAAAATGAAGTTTATTTAAAAAAATTTCTTTTTATAACTACTCTGAGCAAACTGTCCACTAAAAATAACGAGCCACAATGACTAACAGCACAGTAAATAGTTTTGCTTGTATTTTTCAGTTAGCTAATGAAAACACCTTTCTTAAAATAGGAACCTAGATTAAGCTCAAAACCTATTCTAACTGTAATTTCATCTATTGGATATTCGTTTGCTTTATCTGGAGAAAACCCCAACCTCTTTTGTGTTCAAAGATCACACCAGGTAACAAAAAACAGACCTATTATTTATGCTACTAACACTGAAATAGTTTTCCTGAGGTGCAATATTTATTTTTCTGCTTTGACAAGACACATTGGTTTTTCCTGCACAGCACAGAAGTTTCTAGAAGAGGAGTTTGAAAGGGGCACTGTTTTTGTGTAGCGTATTTAAATTCGGAGCGTTGTAAGGTTTTGCACAAGTGTGCTGTATTGTACTGTATAGTATCACATACTTGAGTTTTGAAATAAAAGTATGGTTTCAAAGTCCTCAGCGTTGTCGCCGACGGCTCTGGGTTTGCCTGTGCTCTGCTCTGGTGAGCTCTGCCTTGGGCTTTGTCCTCCACCTCTGCAGGAAGGGGATGCAGAAGCAAGAGAACACCTGTGTCGATAGCAAAAGTGTTGGCAAGCAGGGTCATCCCTGTGCTCCCTAGAAATGAGATGAGAGGAAGCTGAAATGTGCTGGAGAGAGGTTAGCTCCTGCGTCAGAGCGAGGCCGTGTGCCACTGGGGAGGCCAAACGTGCAAGGCCCCAAGGGACACCTGGAACCAGAGGATTCACAGTGCAAGGTTAGCATTCCTTAATTGCTTGGGAGGTCTGGGGAGTCTGGGCTGTGTGGGGAGCTGAGCTGCCAGTCCATGGGTGGGAAATAATGCCCAGTTTCTGAATCTCTGATGGTCAGTGTCAGGAAGAAAAACTCTGGGACAGTGACAACCTTGAAAGCAATTACTGCTACCTTGAAAAGACCCTGACATTTGTAGTTTCTATATCAACATTTTTTGCACTTGTTTCCTCTCCTGTTGTTCAGATTTCAAGGTTCCTTTAGACATGATTGCAGAGAACAGTTAAGTCTGTTCTTCCATACCGAACGTTTTCCGCTTGGCAACCCTCAGCAACGTTGTAAAAAGTGCTGGCAGGAGAGGCTGGGAATTTTTCATATAGGTTACTGGAGGTATTTAGGTCAAACACTAATTAATCTTTAGTTAATCGTCTGCTTTTTCTTCACCACACAAATTATGACGAAGACACACCAAAAGGTTAAAGACCTTTTGTCCTGTTACAGTCCAGATAAGTGGATCTTCCATACAGTTTTGGAACAGCTGTAATACAAAAAGGAAGAAACTGCAAAAAAAAAAAGTCAGTCTCACTTCATCATTCTGAATTCTTTTGTCCCTCTCCTAGTCTGTGTTTTGCTCTTACAAGACCATGTGAAGGAGTTTATATTTTTGTTTGGTGTTGCAAAGATGTTTATCTCATTGTTACAGCTAAAAATCCTACTAAACATCAGGAGCCTGGAGAGTTGGCCTGCAGGAACTTTGCTGCACTCATGATAGGCACAAGGTGTTAAAGCCTGACAGGACAATTAGCATGCAATTAAAATGTCAGAAAGCTGCTCTTGATTAGTTTTCACTGTAGGAAATACTTAGTAGCTCGAGGTAAGCACAGAGATTGTAAGATTTTGTTGCATGTTCTCAGTGTTTTGCAGCCACAGTTTACTAGTTCCAGAGAACTACAGAGTCCTACAATGTAAATGCAAGTGAATCCACTTCAAACCTGCTTCAGGTGAGAGCTAAGTCTGTGACACTGCCTGACATTGCCAGCACTTTGCAGAGGCAGCTAAGGGCAGCACAGTAAAGGAGGGAATAGAAACTGGAGCAAGAAATTTGCCTTACCAACATTCAGTTCCAAAGCTCAGCCCAAACACAACCCGATTTTCATTTCTTCATTGTCAGTGGAGACGACATTTCTCTAGCCCCTAGCACTCCCCACAGGCTCTTGTCTGTGCCACAGGATGCTGTGGGGGATTGGGCCTGTGCCCAGTTAAAAGTTAACACTGTCTTATTAAGTGGGAACTTTCTGCAGTGCAAACAGCAGTTTAGAGGTAGCTACTGTTACACGTGTGTTACAGGATTCTGAGAGCAGCCTCAGGACACCTGAAGGTTTGCTGAATCACAGGTTGAACATGATGGAGCAGAATCACCCTGTTGCAGGCAAAGCAGAGGCTCAGGGCACTCTGAGCTGTGAGCAGGTAAAGCAGTTCACCAAGCAGTGCTTGGAGCTGTGAGGCCTCACACGGAGGCAGAGTGAGCCAGCAGGGGCTGCTTGGGAGCATCTGTGTTTCCAGCCAGTCTCTGGGGGTTGTTGCTGTTGGTTGGAACTGCAGCAGTGCTGGGACTCACTCCCCCCTGCATCAGAGTCTCGCAGGGAATCCCAGTCATGGCAGTGTATCCCCAAATCTGCTCAGAACTAGGTATTGTTTTACCTCTGTGTCAGGGTAACTGTCCTCGCATTGACTCTCGAAGGAAAAGTAAAAGTGCTCCATCAACACAAACAGGATGGTGGGGAATGGATGCCCTTCCAATAAAATGTGAAAATCCTGCTCAGCATGCTGTGATACAACAGATGATTTGTTTTATTTACCAGATGAATAGACAACATGAATAATGAGCTGTTAGTAAACCAGGAAAACATAAGCAAAAGAAAAAATTCTTTCAAAATGTTTACTAGCGTAGCAGTCTAACAGTCTTATCTCCCTTCCTCAGCTGTTCTCTCTGAGTCAGCAGTGGTGAGATTTTCCAGCAATTCCTACATGAAAGCAAATGTAAAGGGTAATTAGGGATTTCCAGTCAGTGACCTCACCGCTGAGTGGGACAGTGCACAGGATCACTGCCACTCTCTGGGAAGCAGTGCACTGACAGCTCCAGCTCTTTCCACAGGTCATCCCAGCAGGAGTCTGACAGACTCCTGTACCTTCACTTCTCTTAGCACAGGAGACAAAGCACCTTCAATTCC